AACTTTGTAGCTACACACACCCTTTCATCTTGTCTCTTCATTCCAAGCACACATAGTCATTCTCTCTTTTTAATATGCTTCGGCACACAGGAGTATGTAAAGTTGCACATGTAGCAGAGATGGTGAGAAGCAGAATAATGAACCCCCCTCCTGACAAGATGGATGTCATCTCAGCAGAGGCACAAACAGGTCTGCGGGGAATAGTGGATTCCCCTGAGAAAAGAGCCGGAGACAGAGCTGTGTAGGGGAGATGGAGAGACGGTGAGAGGATTTCCAGAGAGAGGACCTACGGAAATGAAGAAGAGGGAAAAAAGTCAGGATGGCTGTGAGATGTTCGGCTCTGCTTGTGCCATCGCCCCTGGGAAGAGCAGCTCCTCTACCTGTCTCCTTTGATAATGAAACAGAGATGCCAGTTGCACCTCAACTGCCTCTGTACACATGGATGCAAGAGCCTATAGCAGTGGCTGCCATTTTGTGCCAAAGTCTATTCATAGATCTACCTGCCACAGAGCCACATAATCCACAGTGTGTGCATAAAGAGAGAACTGGGTACCGAGAAGTGGGGCCGGGTTTCTCCTATCAGAATCTAGAGATTTGTTAAGAAATAGTTCAGTTCAGATATTTTCATTTCTAAAAGTAAAAGTCTGCATCGCTGGTTATGCATGCACCAGTGCACATGTTCACTGGTTACAGAATGGCATGCTGTGGCTAGACCTTTAAAGACTTTAAAATAGTATCACTGTAATTCAGGGAAAGTCTCAGAATCTGCTTTTTTGGCAAAGTTTGTTTAAACACACAAGGAATTTTACTCCAGTACAAAGGCTCTCAATGTGAGTTAAAAATATAAAATAAAAATGTGTACACTCAAAATAGAAAAATGTGTGCAAACAAATAGGAACGAGAACTGAGAAGTGAGACATTCTATAAATATATATATATGCTGTATATACACGTCAAGGTAGAAGAGCTTTCAGGTTGATATATCCAATGGTTATATTTACAATTTATTGCACTGGAGATGAATGATGTGTCCTGTCATACAAGCATGGATTAACTGTTCATGAGAGTATTTACCGCAATGTGGGGCAAGAATGTTTTGATATTCCCAGCGGTGAACATGATTTATGAGAATTGGGTTACTGTGCCTCTGAAGTAAAAGGCAGCAAACACTGACCTAGTACAAGGTCAAGGCAAGAGAGAATATTTTTAACCGAAAATAATCTTGTAACAAGTTACAGTGTACTGTTTAAAGCAGTTTAACTCTGCCAAAAATGAAGGTAGATTTGTTCTTTTTCTTACTGAAATAAGATGAAAAGGGCTGGATGTTCCACTTAGAAGTTGTCTCAAGGGGTGTAGAAATGTGCCAATAGTTGGGAATTCAGCTAAAATTGGACATGATAAGCACAGTCAGAATCCAAACCCAGAGAACCCGAATGGCATCAAGTCCTGGCTTGTGCTCACAGTAAGTGCCTGTTGTGGCCAAATTCCATCTATTACACATTTTCATGCCTCGCTTTTTTGGTCTCATCTTCATGTCCCTCTGAAGTCTATAGACCATTATCTGTATCAGTGGTTGGTGTATATACTGCAAAGCTTTCATTGTGGATCTTATCAGAAGCGATATGTCTTGGTAACAAGTGCCTATCAGTGTGTGTTCCATGTGATTTCTGCTATATGATGAGACTTTGAAAATGTCTTCTGTGTACTTCCACAGCAGAGCTGGAAGACTTATTGCCCACAAGGCCATCACCTCTTCTATATTATTTGTGAAAGTCATTGCGCAGTTGTGTGTGTGTCTGTGTGTGTGTGTGTGTGTGTGTATTTGTGTGAGAGTAAAAGCCATTTCAGACGACCGTCAGCATTGATTTCTTCCTCTCATATACAGAGCCAAACCAAGCTCTACCCAACCAGCTGCTGCCATGCTGTACACTCATGTGGAACGGCTGTATGTGTGTTTATGTCTCTACTGTATCCACATATTAGCCATTGCCCTATTCAGGAATATAAAAATCAGATCATGTGCTACCAGTCAAAGGTTTGTGCCCACTTCCTTATTGGATTGACTGGTAGTGCATGTACATGTTGGACAGTGAAAACTGCACATTGTAATTTATACACAAATAGGTACTGTTGTTTTGGGGAGTCATCTCAAACACTGCTAGTCTGTCAGCCACACAAGCCAGTACCCACGTTTTTGTAGCTGCAGAGATGGAAATACAACTCTAACCACTGTATTACTTTTATATTTGTGCCTTCGGGTTATTGTACATGCGTACTGATAGAGAAATATGTTTTTTATGTGTCAGATTGAGCTGTGATGTGATCTGAAGTTTGGAGGCAGGCACCGGTCTTATGCATAATTCAGCACACAAGAAAGGAAAGAACAACAAGCAATAGCCTGCAGTTGTAAATGGGGAGTGCAGGTTGACACTGTGTTTGTGGCTTAGTATGTTAGGCTGTTTGGGTGGCTGGGGCTTTGAGAAGCAGGGGGTGTGTGTTTGAACCTCCTTTCACTCTTAACTGTCATCCTACTCCCTGGTTACTTTGTTTTCTTGCATGTTAGTCATTTACCGCTTGCTCCAATCACCTGTGCATGTGATACATTTTTCTCTTCTTACTTTTCATGTACTGCAGGAGTAATTCATTAATTTCCTAATGAGCTAAGCTGCAGTCCATTTCCTCTACACTATATTATATATGCCTGTACAGATTCATTAATCATTAAGAATCATTTCAATGCTTGTTTGTTTACTTTCCAGTATACTGTTCATTAGCATCTTTCCTTCTCCTTCAGTGCTCTTGTTCTTACAGCTCCTCGCCTACTGTGTGTGCATCTGTACACTGTCTTGCATTCACATTATGTGGTGCTATGTCATTAGAAAGACTTGATGCCTCGAAGCAATGTGTTCATACTTCTAAAATGTCACTAACTGATATGATTAAACATAACCATTTTGAATGTTAATACCAATAACATTCAACAATCAGTAGTAGTATGGAAGGACTGGTATGTCTTAAAGCAAATCAAACTTTGCAGTGACATCACAAACAAAGCATGTATCACCTGAGGTTTTATCCATTTCTGCTTTTCTTTTGGTGACAGCAAATTCATGGGCACAAAGCTGAACTGATGACTTTTGCTACTGTCATAATTAGTGTGACTGCTAGAGATTGCCCAATTATAACACATATGTACATTCTGGACTACTGGTAGGTGCAGTCTGCCCCTTCTGAAGCATACTTATGGGTGTGATAACACCTGAGATGATCACACACGCACACATGCAGACTAATCAAACAGCTTGAAATGTATTCACCTTGAATGAGCAGCCACAAAATGCAATAAAGGTTCAGAAAGATTCCAAATGCGTTGATGGACTGATACACACACAAACATATGCAGTTGCACAACCATATTTCCACTATGGTACCAAAAGTCACAGAAGTCACCATGAATAATGGATAATACCTGTGTTTTCAGAAACATCAAAAAACAGACAGATGGAGATGGACAGAGAGAGAGAGAGAGAGATGCAGATGCATCAAGTGGGTGTTTGATCCGTTGCCTAAAATGACTATTATCCTGCTGTTTGCCAGGACTGAAGGACCAGCTTCAGATGCTCTGTGTGTGTGTGCATATGGAGCATTTTGTGTTCACGCTGTGTGAGTGACAGGCAGAACATTCATTAGTGTGAGGTTTTCATTGAGGAAAGAGATGAATTGGTGGTTAAAGGTCAAGAAAGTGATTAGCAGAAAGTGGGGAGAGCAAAAGAGAGGAACATATAACTGAAGGGAGAATGAGAAAGGACAGAAAATAAAACAGATGAGAAACAAGAATAGAATCAGGAACAGAAAGCATGAAATGAGGAAAAGAGACTAAAGCTTATACCTCTGTTAAAGGGAGGTAGTGAGAGGTGTTTAAGAAACAGCAATAATTATCAACCAGTACAAAAAAGATGACAGAAGACGCTTCTTACACTCCGCTGCTACTAAACCTAACACTAATGCTCTTAATGGCACCGGTTCTCCCAAACATAAAGGGCCTTTGACTAAAATAAATGCACCCCTTTATTTTTCTTAGTATTTCTGAGTGACAAGCCATTTTGCTACTTCATTAAACATGGCTTAATTAGCACTTACGCAAGAATGGGTGGCACTTGCTGATTATCGTACTGTGTGCTGCCTGTCAGTCGTTGACAGGGAAACAAAGAGCCGGTCTTTTTTCACTAATGAAATTGTTTGCTTAGCGAGCCAGTGCCATTACACGCTGCATCTAAATCCGGAAGGTTTTGCACTGATCATTCATCTTCTACTTTGCACTCTGTTGTGATCAGTAAGACTTGAAATGTCTGTCGGGATAAATTTCACGGAGGCTTCCCTGGAGTGAGTAAGAAAAAGTTCTGAAGTCAGTTTGATGGAGAGAGCTGGTGAGGAGACAGTGAGTTCAGATTAAGAGCGTCTCCATCCGTTAGTCTCGTGTCGATACAGACTTGTCAGTCAATCCATATCTGTATTGATCTTGTCAGCCCTGGTGCACTGGCCGAGGATCTGTTCAATGCTGCACACACACACTCAAAAAAAGGTACGCAGTGTTTGTCCATTCATGGGGACTTGAGTAGGATGAAGTTGTCTTCTCTGACACATTCCAGCTTCAATAATTAATTCATTACCTCTCTCCTAGCTTCATTCTTTCCCTCCCTGTTGCTCTCCTCTTCTTGTCTCCACATTTCTTGTGCTCTCTCACTTCATATCTAAGAATTCAGTAGGGTATAATGGATATACATTATACATGCCAGATTTCTGACAAAATCCTGGTGAGAAAGTTCACTGTACTATATTCCTTCCTTGACTTTTTCGTCAAAACGGAGAACACTGGGGAGTTACAGTAAGACTGTTTCTGATGTCCTTCACATGTCTTGAAGCGATTTTGTTAATATTGAACGAAACTGGAATCCCCAAGCTCACCTCTCCTCTTCCTCTTTCTATTCTTCTCTCACTAGCACCATCTCTGATCAGTGAGCTGCGAGCGGAGAAGATCGAACAGAAGAGTATAACCTTGGTGTGGAGGGAGCCCTCCTACCCAAACAGCAGCCGCACCGAATATGAGGTCAAATACTACGAGAAGGTAAATCCACTGTTACATCTCCATCTGTCTGCATCACTGCTGCTTTTCTGTTGTCTACATTATGGTTTACAAGTTTATTTTCTAAGTATAAAATGTTCATGGTCTTGTTTCCCAAATGCATCCTAAAGTTTGATTATTGTCAAATCCAGCTTTGTAATATAAAGTATGTATTTTTATTATATGGCATTTATAATCTTCAAAGTTAAAATTGTATTATGTTTAGTATCACATAAAAAAGTTGAGAAGCTCTTAACAGTGGGTGCATGTACTCACTCTTAAAAGCTGCTTTGGGAAATGTGTGTAAAAAAAAAAAAAAAAGTGTTTGTATAAGCATTTTTAGAAAATGCTGTTAACTTCAATCATTACTGGGCTATGGACCCCATTGTGCAACTCAGTAGTGTCTTCTTTAGACTCTTCTGTTTCAGTGTGGGTTTTCTGCTGTCACAGGTTGTTCTTATGACTCTGTAAAGTTTATGGAGTGCACCTTTAATCAAAAATGTTTCAGTAAATATGCTAAAAGGTATTTTAAACTCTCAAACATCAATCCCACTAAACATCCAGCATAAATCAGGTTCTAGTTTGTCATGGTGACAGCACCAGAACCGTGCTGATTTTCCAGTAAACCCCATAAAATCCTGTTGCACCTACACTCGATATGGAGTATGTACAAAGATGATGTAAATATTAAGGGAACTCAAAACTTACCACCAAGTAAACAAAGAGAAGGAATATTATGACTCTTCTAGTGAGACTGAAGCAAATCAGGGTATTTTTACAACCCTTTCCATAAGATTGAATCATTGCCTTGAACTGCTTACTTTTTTGTGAATTAAGGGCCAGTTATGTACAGTATAAACCTGAATCCATACGATTCTTTCTTTTGCTTTTATTTCATCAGCCTTATCACGCTCGTTTAACATAGGGCTTAGTCAGATTGTGGCCACCCCGTCAACGTTGATAGTCTTCACAGTAAATCTGTCATGCACGTAAACCACAGCTGTCATGCTCACGCTTTTCCAGTTTCATACACTGCATTTTCTGGCAACGCCAGGTCTTTGTGTTTGGCTGCGTCACAATCTCACCCATTTTCACACCTCCTTCTCTTCTCTATGCTTCACCATATTTAATAAAGCCCTGCTCCTTACTGCTCTACGCCCACATCTTTGGAAAAAAAGCAAGATTTAGTGTGGGGGTGGGGGGTGGGGTGCAAGGAAAATTTTGAGAACAGAGAAGATATAGCAGGAGGCGTAGAGCATTATGAAAGAATAAGATGCCGGTGTGAGGGACAGAGGAGGGTATTAGGGACCGACGAGGAGAAGGTCATTTGGTAGAGAGATGCCTGCAAGAGCACAGCGATACTGTAGATGGAAAGAAATGAATGAAAGTACTTTATGAGACTAGATGCAGATGAAAAGCAGAACGAGGGAAGTAAATGAAAGGAGAGATTGTAAAGGATGGATGGAGAATAACTCAGACTGAGACAGTAAAATTGTTGAAAGGCCATGAAATGAAAAGGCAGTTCAACTACACTGCAACAAAGGGCCTGTTAAACATAAAATATGGCTTTGCTTAGCCGGGGTATAATCTTTTTCTTCCTTCTTTATATCAGCGCTGATCACCCACAGCATTAATATCACCTGCCTGCTACTGTGTAGGTCCCCCTCATGTCACCAAAACAGCTCTGACCCACTGAAGCCTGGCCAGACCTCTGAAGATGTCCTCTGGTATCTGGCAACAAGACGTCAGCAGCAGATCCTTTAAGTCCAGTAAGTTGCGAGGTGGAGCCTCCATGGCTTGGACTTGTTTTTCCAGCACATCCCACTGATGCTCGATCAGATTGAGATCTGGGGAGTTTGGAGGCCAAGTCAACATCCTGAACTCTTTGTCATGTTCCTCAAACCATTCCTGAACACTTTTTGCAGTGTGGCAGGGAGCATCATCCTGCT